TCCCGAGCGGCCCGAAAGCTGCTGCGGGTCGGCGTTCCCACCTGGAACGGTCTCACAGAATGACGGAATTGTTACAGATGGGAGGGACCTCTAGAGATCATCCAGGCCAAGTCCCTTGCCAAGGCAGTGCCACCACGAACAGGTGCTACATTAACGTGCCCAGGTGGGTTTGGAACTCCTTCATAGAGGGAGACTCCACGACCTCTCTGGTCAGCCTGTTCCAGTGCTCTGCTCCCTCGGTGTAAATAAGTTCTTCCTCATGCTGAGGTGAAATTTCTTGTGTTTTGGTTTATGGCCACTGGTCCTTGTCCTGTCTCTGGGCACCACCAGAAAGACCCTGGCACCGTCCTCTTGGCAGCCACATTTGAAATATTTAAGTGTACTAATGCGATCCCCCCTCAGTTGTCTCTTGACTAAACAGGCCCAGCTCCCACAGTCTCTCCTAAAAAGAGAGACCCCGGATCATCTTAGTGCCCTTCACTGACCCTCTCCAGTAGTTCCTTGTCTTTCTTGTACTGAGGAGCCCAGAACCGGGCACAGCACTCCACTGTCGTCTGGCAAGGGATGAGCTCCCTGCCAGCACCACTGGGCATCGCCACAAGCAGGCAGCCACTAAAAACCCACTTTTCTCCCTTTTCTGAGGCTCACTGCACTCCCTGCCATCATTCAAAATAAAGCTGCAGCAGAGCAATAAAGATCAGTGACTTTTGGTGGGAGCTGCCCCCAGCTTACTCCAAGTACTCCTCAGCAAAGGAGCCCATCCAGTTCATGTTCTTCAAACTCTTTCCATCTTCTAGAGAAGTTACACTTGCACACAGCTAAAGAACTAAAGAGCCATGGTGTAATATTTTACATTCATGCTCTTTTGAAATTTTTTTTTTCTGCCCACAAGCCAGAGGCAGAGATGAAAGACAGTGGATACTCTGTTGCTACAGAGGGGGTGAAAGATCATTGCATGTAACCTCATCTGCCAAAACCACAGCTTTTGTTCCTCCACCAAGGTCGAAAAGAAGCAAGAATAAATCTAAATTGCAGATCAGGACCTCTGTTACAGGGAATAAAAGCAAGCTGATTCAACAAGCCTAATGTAGATCTACAGGGGAGAGCAGCTGTGCTGTTCAAGACTAATTTAAAACTAACAGGAATTTCCTTTGTGAAAAAAAAAATAAAAATCAAGCAGTTTGCTTTTATGTTGTGAGAGTTCCTCAGCCAAGTCCCAAAGGACTTTTGGCAACTGTGCCACAAAGTCAGATGGAGCAAGCAAAGTGTGTACTAACATGCCAAATTGATCTATATATGGAAAAATATTGCAATATTGTGTACTCCTTAAATACTTAAAGACCAAATGGGAACAGGACCCCTGCTGTGGGTAGGGAATTGTTATTTGGACAAGAATCTAATTTAAAAACCAAAACCACAAGTTCTCCATTAAACATGCTCACAGACCTCAAAACAACTTTTTAAAAAGTTTGTAGCATACTACTAAGATTTTCACTAGAAGTTTATGTTACATGTAAACTGCTTTTTTATTTTATGAGCTGAAGTAGTACAATGCTGCTTTCCACTGAATTTCTTACCAAGAGCAGTGGCCTTCAGTTGAAGGGTAAAACATACTATTTCCAAGTTAACACCTCTTTGCAACAATTTATATGACATGGATACAAACTTGTTTGCATGTCATTAAGTTACAGAACAGAGGTCTTGCTACATAAATTTACATCGATTTGAAATACTGCCATTATGAAATCCAGAAGGAAAGCACATAAGGATTTTGGCTATCAAATATGCCCACTATTTTTGTGGCTAGCATTCACAGACTAATTATCATGTTTATTTTTAATCATGTATTTAATTTGTAATCTTTTTCCCACTAAAATACACAGTTGGCATCCTATCTACAGAACAGTTAAACAAAAAATAGCCCCAAACAATGGCCAGTATTTTAAAACCCGGTGCTACACATTTGAAACCAGCTTAAGGACAGTCATGTTAAAATTAACATCAGAATTTTCCAATAGTAATATATAATAATAGTTCTGTTTGGTGTTTTTCTTGGAAATGTTGAATTTGGACAGTGGTTCATCATGTCATTTATCTTTTCTGAAAGAAACATACTTTGATCCCTGAAGAGATAATAATGAATTTATTACCACCCCATTTGCAAATGGGTTTGAATAAAAAGGTAATTAGAGAGTGTAAAAACATACATAGTTCAGCTGCCTATGGGCATGCATTGTTCTGTTGAACAACCATGGAATAAAAAAAAAAAAGAAAAAAAAGATAATGAAACATACCATTAGATTGACAGATTTTCCCTGTAATACCACCATGTTGCTACACAGCTGTTTGTAAACTGTCCATCCTGGGGCTTGGAAGCTACCAAGAATTATCTTCTAATTAGCAAGACATTTCCCTATACTATCTATCCCACAGACTTTAGCAAACTCACCATAACAGATGATCACAAGGATGTGTGCCAGAACATCCGGTGTCGAAAGGCGTGTCTTTAACTGCGACTAGTAACTTTCCAGTACTAAATGCATTCCAGTTTCATGACCCATCAGTAAGGTGTGTTAACTAATTCCATTGTTTGTTTCTCAGATTAATGGGAACACCATGTTTTGCTACAAAAGAGAAAAGTTTAGAATTCTATCATGAGAAAAGCCCACTGATCAGCAATAAAATATTGTTGTTTGGTATAAGTAATATTAAATGACACCATATCATATTTTCACCTAGAAAACTGTAGATAGAAGATAAAATATTCAGAAATGTTGAGGCCTCAGATGACAGTGTGAACCCTGATAGTGTAAAAGACAGGTTGGATAAAGCCTTGGGCAACCCAATCTAGTGGGAGTTGTCCCTGCACATGGCATAGGGAGGTTGGGACTAGAGGATCTTTAAGGTCCATTCCAAGCCCTTAACATCCCATGATGATTCTATGGCAGTTAAATAATTGATGCATTAGAAGTGTGCCTAGAACAGCTTACTCCCTGTGCTCTGTTGAATTCTCTTGACTACTTCTGTGTGATTTAAATAAGTACAATTAAAATGATACAAAATTCTTATTGCATATAATTAGAACAGAATGAACTTGATGTAAAAATCAGCATTCTATGAACCACATTACATTAGATTTCACTTTGACAGATGCAACGGCTGTGTTAAACACATTTATTTATGCAGTGCAAGTCCTTGCAAATACAAAAATAAGTCATAGTTGCTTTCTTCTGATCCCTTTCTGTGCTTCACATTGTACAGAAGCAACAGAAAGATCACAAAACCTGTCCTGCTCAAAGATAACAGCTTAACAGTCTTTATACTCTTTGAATCTTGGACCAGTCAAAGTAGGGCACAAAGCTGCATTACAGTAAAAAATTGGAAGTATTAAACAATAATACACGCAATTAAAATCCTTTTTGTGTATTTCTCTAGACTGCTGATAAAGCATAAGTAATATTTAAAACAAGTCTGCCCCAGCACAAAGCAGTGCAGTCTGTTCAAGGTCAGTAGTTAGCAGTAAGGGTAGAAAATTGTGAAAAGAACCCACAAACAAACCAAGCCCAAAACACTACCAGTGCGATTTCTGAAGTGCATTGTTTATGGATTTGTAACAAATCAAGCCCTTTATCAGATACAAAAAGAAAATTAAAATGTCCATGCAGTAACATGTGCTATGCAAGATCATGGGAACAATGCTATCCTTGCCAA